TACAGCCTGTGCTTTGCACAACTGTGCCAGTGCACATTGCCACTCATATCTGGTCTCACAGTAGCTTGCACGCATAGTACCACTAATCTCAACAAAAATGACAGGCAGAGGCAGGCCACCCCGCAGGGGCCATCGTGGTCGTGGTGCTGTGATTCCCTTTGGCCCTAGAATAATGCCCAGTTTTCAGAGGCCACGTACCCTGAACTTGAAAAGTTCTGAGGACATAGTAGACTGGCTAACACAGGACACCCAATCTTCTACAGCCTCCGCTCAGAACCTTGACCCACCATCCTCCTCCAGCTTAGCTTCAGGCACCTCTCAAGATACCACTCACCCGCCTGCCACCACCACCAAAACTAGCACCACAGCCGCTTCGGTTGGTATGTCAGAGGAGTTATTCACACATCCGTTTGAAGAAATGAGTGATGCGCAACCATTATTGCCAGAGGATGTAGATAACAGGGATATGTCCCAGGCAGGCAGCATTACACACATGGACGTACGGTGTGATGATGATGATGATGTTGTACCCGCTGCTGCTTCCTTTGCTGAGTTGTCAGATACAAGTGAAGCGGTTGATGATGACGATGCGTCCATGGATGTCACGTGGGTGCCCGCTCGTCAAGAAGAAGAACAGGGCGAAAGTTCAGATGGGAGACAGGGAGGAGGAGGAGAGAGGCTGGAAGCAGGAGGTCGTCGCAAGGAGCTAGTGGCACAGTCAGACAGCATGCATCGGCACCCGGGTCAGCCCGAGAGCACGCCAATCAACGCATGCTGTGTCCACCACCTCAGAATGCCGCCATTGCAGAGCCCAGCAGTGTGGAATTTTTGTGTGTCTGCCTCAACAACAGCGAATGCCATTTGCAACCCAGCCAAAAGAAACTGAGAGTCGTGGGAAGTCCAACACCCACCTAGGTACAACTGCTTAAGCGTAGGCAATAGGCTGATTCATTACACATCACAAACGCCATGGGATCACCGACATGAAAGTACAAGCAGCTCGCTCCAATTTAAGTCAGCCAGCGCCGCCTCCTGGTCCAGCATCTTCAGCCACGCCAACCACTGCTGTCCTCCTTGTCCCTCTCCTCAACCATCCGCCCGCCACGCCCCGGCTTGATAAAGTTCATTACTACCTTCCCGTACAGCGCGCAAAGTCGTCGGCGATTACGTTTGAGCGTAAGAAGACAATGTCAGAAAGTCACCCTCTTGCCCAGCGTCTGACTGCTGGCTTGTCCGAACTATTAGCCCGCCAGCTTTTACCATACAAGCTGGTGGAGTCTGAGGCGTTAAAAAAATTTGTAGCTATTGGGACACCGCAGTGGAAGGTACCCGGCCGAAATTACTTTTCGCAAAAGGCAATCCCCAACCTGTACTCAATTGTGCAAAAGGAAGTAATAGTATCTCTGGCACACAGTGTTGGGGCAAGGGTCCATCTGACCACTGATACCTGGTCTGCAAAGCATGGTCAGGGCAGGTATATCACCTACACTGCGCATTGGGTAAACCTGCTGACTGCATGGCTCTGCAGAGGA